CACACCAGCAATCCAGCACAGCATGCCAGCATTCGACTCCATGCAACACAATCAACTTGAATCACAATGAGTGAATTAATTGAGATTGTCAAAATAGGCTATCCCAAATAAATTCTTTACAATTTGCATGAAAGAGTTCATTTCCAAAGGATCATGAGACACTGAAGACTGCAGTAAAGGCTGCTGGAAATTCAGCTTTGTCATCACAGGAGTAAATTACATTTTAAAATATATTGATGTTTTAAATGAACAAATAACTATATTTCTTAATATGACCAATTTTACAGTATTTTTGATCAAATAAATGCAGCCTTTGTGAGCATAAGAGACAAAAACGTGAAAAAAAAAATATCTTATCTGATATAGGGCTAAAGAAACATCCATGTTGTAATATGGTATATCCAACTGTTATCCCTGATAATAATCTATTCTAATGAGAAGACACTCTTACTAATGTCATTGCTCTGAGTTCAGCTCCACTGCTTTACATTAGGCCTGATCCTCAAGCATAATAATCCTGTCTTGCTCTTAAAAATCTAAAACACACAAACTGCCAAAGTCATTTGAAAAAAAAGAAAAAAACCTTAATTAAGTTCATCTGTGCAAACATTAACCTTGTAAGAGGCTAAAGAGAAGGAAGGAATGAAAGAAAGTATGTATGAGAGAGAGAAATTCTATGGATGGAGAGAGATCGGAGGAAGGTTAATGAAGGAGGGCGAAGTTGTGTTTGCTTAGACCTTTGCGACAGAGACGGAGGAGGGGGGCAAAGGATATCTTTCACGGAGAACCGCACACACGTCCCTCGGTTTTACCCGAAGTACTGCACAAACAGGATCCAAATGACAAGGTGACACTGGGAATACACTACTACGTGACCGCCGCTGGAATTGCCTTCATCCGTTTAAGATGACTGCAGCCACTGTGGACACTGTCGTACCATTAGAGAGATCTGGAGAATAAGCCACGGAGATAGCAGAGATTATCACGGCCTGTGTGTTCAAAGCCCTCCCAAGGGCACAATGACAAGCCACACCGCTGAGACTACAACAGGAAGAAATCTGATGATGCATTATTAAACTGCTCATCATTATGTTACTGCTGTTGCTAAATTGTGCAACATTTAAAGGAGTAGTTCACACAAAAATGAAAACCCTGTCAGGATCAAGGCCTGTCAAATTCCAACAAAAAAAAGACAATAAAAGCACCTCTACACTCTATGATTTGTGAAATGACCTTTTTATTTTATTTGTATTGGGGAACTGTCCCTACTGCGGATGTAATATTTAAATTTGGATGAGTTCAACATCCTTCTCATTCTGCTTATTTGTTTGCTTTACCTGTCCATGTGGTCTTTGGTCCACCTAAAGTAAAATGTATACTGCATTACCATCTGCTCCCTCTCTCTCCTTGTTAAGGTAAAATAAATGAATGAACGACTGAATGCTAGATTTATGTAAGGACACTTTTATGTCTATGGGTGGTTTCACACTTTAATTAGTCTCAACAATAAAATAAGGAGCAGAAGTCTTTTCAGTGTGTGATGTGCCAGGAAACCTTTTCAGTTTTTTTTTTTTCAAATTACATTATATGTTGCGGGTCAATTTGACCCGTTTCGATTTTCTAGTTGTTGGAAATACTGGTTAACCTTTGTTTTTTGTCTTGATATTTTGTGACTTTTTTTCATTTATCACGATGAACATGCATGCAAAGTTTCAACATGCTGATGTGTTTTGACATATACAAACAAAATTACTGTTACGTTCGTGATGTTCGCGGGTCAATTTGACCCTCATAGGCAGCCATTCAAAAGCAACTGTACAGACACAAAATAAAAACATTTATTATCTGTATGTAAGGGCACTTCAACTCCAGTTCTAACATGCAAGTGTATCTAAAAGTGCTCTAACCCTAACCAAACACACTTGAAAAAGCTAAAATCACAGTGTTTAGAATTATTTACAAATTACAGATTAAAATCTTTGTCAGACACAGATAGTAAAATAAGCTCTCATTTCAATATTCAAGATATCTAAAATAACTAGCTTTTAACCAAAACTTTTATGTAGGATTTTCAAAGGCAGCTTCACAGAGCCAAAACATAAATTAAAAACGTTTATTTGATGTATGTTTATGTTATGTTTGGTTTCTCACTTCCCTGTGAGTGAATAATGAAACTAGGGAACTAGGGCTTAGGAAACTAGGGAAAGTTAACTTAGGAAAATTAAAAATGTTCATTATACAGCAAAATTGTATTGTTCAGTTACGATGTTCAAAGCATAAAATGTAAAAAAAAAAAAAAAAAAAATTATATATATATATATACATGCAAATAAAGTCAGTACACTGTTTATTTTCCAATTTTGTCAAAAAGTGGTTTAAAAACATTTTTATAAATCATATTTTCAGATATAATGTTTTTGTAATGTTTGACAAATGTTGATATTAAAAGTTTACAGTTTGTATCTAAATCTTTGTTGTTTTTCATAGTGTGATTTTTGAGGAATTGTATTGAATCCAATTAGGGTCAATTTGACCCGCTCCATAAAGGGTGTACACAGAATTCGAACAGTGCACAAGGGTTAAATAACATCGTTCAATGTGAGTGTCAGAAAGGTCAACAGCCACAAGGCATTGTACATGTGTTCAAATGTTTCGCATTTATACGCATGTGTTTTTTATTCAAAGCATCTTAGAGGCTTTTGCTGCATGGACCCAGTTCGGTTCATTTGGGTCTGCACCAGCAAACTGCACCCGGGTCCACATGAAAAGGTGTTCTGGGGTATGGGTCATCTCACCTTTAGTACGGTTCACAATTGAAGAAAAAAAAAAGCCTTGCAGTGCATTTAAGGTATATGTTTTATCATTTCATGTGCTTCCTAGGAATCAAAACAATGACCTTTGCGTTGCCAGTTGAGCTACACTGCAGCAGCACATAACATATGTTGTAATATGCTAACAGGAAGAAAGCTTTGACTGGATGTTTTGAGGGCCCAGTAGAGCATGTGATGTACCCTGTTTGACAGCCCAAAGCTCCTTTTATGGGTTTTGGCCATTTTGGCTGTTGTGAGACAGTTAAGATGATATGTTATGTCTCCCGGCAGATCCACCTTTGGCTGAGTGAGATCTGAGCTAGCCAGGACCACACGGGAGATGACATTTCCATTTCTGTTTAGATAGAGGTGTGGTAGACACATGTCTCTCTACCTGATCGAACTGATAGACAGAAATATATTCATCACTCTCTGCCCTGCTGTTTTCTCTAACAGAATTTGATTTTTACAGCCCTCCAATTAAGAAATGATTACATATTTATTTGAACCCCCCCCCCCCTGACAAATATGATTATTTAGTTTGGCTGATGAATATATTAACTGTGCATTGATCAACTCTGCTCTCTAGTGCACCGTGGAGAAACATTACCCTTCTTGGCGAGCTTTTCAACTACCATGGCCTTCATACCAACACACACAAACACACACATAGACTGTGTCACTATAAGGCCAGCGGTGCAGGGGTTAACGCTGCTGAGAGCTTTTGCCCAGTGGATTGTTTATCGACTGAAAGAGAAGGTCTTCTTTCTCTGGGCCAGTTAAGTCAGCCCCCCTTTTGTTTGACGCTGCCCATTTGAGGAAAGCTTATCCCTGACCTTCTGCCGCCGAGACTGATGACAAGGACAACGCGCACTAACCTTGACATTCAGTGGGCTAAATGGCTTTTTCCACTAGCAGTCAGCAAACCAGAAGACAGGCAGCAAGAGGCCAAAAACTAATGAATCTGTACCAGAAAAAAACTTAGCAAAGCCACATTCTTTAAAGGAGTAGTTTTTTACAAAAGAAGTGACACGTATACGGTACGTGCATATGTCTCTGCGCAGTTAAGTGAGTCAGTACACGCCCCTGGGGGAAAAAGTCTATGGAAAAGGGGTTAACACGCTAGTGACTGTATTAGAGACAGTGGGACATTTGCATAGAAATGTGACTGTATGGCACTTTTATACATTCAACATTTGTGCTCCATTGCATTTAAACAAATTGGGCCATGCAGCATATTGAAACACAACATAACAGTTGTTAGATCATGATAACAAAAAGAGGGATCAAAACGGTACAACAATTACACACATTAAAACATACCAGAATGGAGACAAACCGAATGCGAGGTTGATAAAGCAATGACTAACAATGGTAAAACAATGGTTAACAATATCCAACAACATCAATTAATCAACTGTTAAAACAGCATAGACATGCTTGAAGAAACTACAGTACCATTCAAAACTCACCCATGCTGCATTTATTTGATCATGAATACTGTAAAAACAGTAATATTGTGAAATATTATTACAAATTAAAATAACTGTTGTCTATTTTAATATATTTACAAAGTGTAATTTTTTTCCAGTGATTGAAAAATATCAATATTGAAAATCAATATTGAGATCGTTAATATCAATGTTGAAAACAGTGTTTGTTGAACAATTTATATTTTTGTTGAATTTTTGATGAATCCTTTGATGAATATAAAGTTCAAAAGAACAGCATTTATTTGAAATATAATACTTTTGTAACACGTCGCTTTTGGCCAATTTAAATGCATCCTTTTAATCCATCCTTGCTAAATAAAAGTATTAATAAAGACAAGAACTTTTATGCTAAATGTAAGCAGGTATGATGTCAGTCAAAATAATGCATTATGGGACTGTATTGCATAAGGTAGTTAGCTAAACAAACTGTAACCAAACCAGTGCCCAGATACACACAAGCATGAGTCCACACACACACGCACTCGCGCACACACACACGCAAACACGCACACACAAAAAAACAAACAAACAAGCAACAAATGCAGTAAACACCCCCAACCCAAAGTCACAGGGAAATACTATCTCGGGGGGAGTTTTCAGGAGAGCTCTGCTTTATGACTGCTGTTGTCAGAGCACTTAGCGCCATGTCCTTTGTTTCTAATGAGATAAGACAGTGTCAGATGGATACAGTACTAACCTTTCTGCTTGTTTACAGTGCAGAAGAACAGGATGGGGGGGTGACCTCTCTAAAGTTTATGGTCCAGCTTGCCAGACAGCTCTGTTTCTAATGAGAGGCCTTGTGGGAGCGTGTCACAGCGCCTCTGCTTGGCACACTGAGAGTGTTCACAAACAGGAGAGAGAGAGAGAGAGAGAGAGAGAGAGAGAGAGAGAGAGAGAGAGAGAGAGAGAGAGAGAGAGTTGGCTATTTTGTTCTATAGGCAAACACAAACACTTACGATTTAAATCTTTAATTTTGGGGTGGTGTGTCAATGTAATGCCCTCTTTTAGTCGAATTAATAATAATAAATAAAAAAATAATAATAAAAAAAAACCTTAATTCTTTAATTTACCAACATTGAAGCAGTTTATCCAACTACTTTATAACTTTGACACAACATCTAAAAACAAGCCACTTATGGTGAAAGAAACTGAAAAAGTGAGACACAATTTTTATCATTTATATTCATGTGAGAATTCTGAGAAAAAAAAAGGAGAAAAAAATGTTTCTTGAGCAAATCATCACATTACAATGATTTCTGGAGGATCATGTGACACTGAAGACTGGAGAAATGAATTCAGTATATATATCAAATATGTGTGTGTGTGTGTGTGTGTGTGTGTGTGTGTGTGTGTGTGTGTGTGTGTGTGTTGTGTGTGTGTGTGTATTTTTTATTTGTATTCATATTTGTTATTAAATATTGTCTATCCAATGATTTACTCTTCTGCCATAAATAAATAAAATAAAATAAAATAAAATACAAAAATAAAATAAAATAAATAATCAATTTCCTAAGACCAAGGTCGCTCTACAGAGAAAGTGTAATGAAATGAAAATAATGTAACGTGTTTAAACCGATATTTGTGAGTATATGTTATTAATTTGATTGATGAATCATCATAACATTTGATTAATTAATCTTAGTATTTAAGTAGATTTACAAGCCTAAATGTGAAAAAAAGAAACTTTATTTTTTACCTTCACCTGTGAATAAAGACATTTACATAAGAAAGATGTCAACAACTTCCAGATTTTTTTTTTTTTAAGAAATCTGGAAATCATACCAGACAACATCATCTGGTTTTGATACAGTGAGGTTTACTGTCACTCCTCATCCAGCCTGCCACCCATGAAGGTGTCTGACCTTTGACCTTGGCGTTGTAGAGGACTGATAGATAGAACAGAGATCAGCTTGTGGCGAGGCAGAAGAAGACAGGGCTCTGGCAAGAGCAGAAGCAAACTGAAGCAAAATAAACACTCTCTCATATCCCTCTTCTCCTCTACTGTAACTTAATCAAGTTGCAGACAGTATGTGTATCTCTTTTTGGCAGTGTGTCTCTGTTCTATATCCGAGAGAGGCTGGGATGTCAGGGGCCAGTCTCCTCTCTTTATGAGGCCACGCTGCTACAGCCCTTCTGCACTCCAGCCCAACAGGACAGCTGCTGCACTCTCCCAAATACATCATCCTGTCCGCCAGCCGCTCCCAGGACACCCCCCCCCCCCCCCCTCCACTCCACTCCCGCTCGCCTCGCTCTCTTTCTCCTAGCACAAGGTGGGGGAAAGAGGGGGGCCAGATGTGTAGACAGAGAGTCCTTGTCCAGCAGAGGTCAATGGATCTAACAGAGCTACTTTCTGTAAGGAGCTGAAAGCCTTCTACTGCAGCTCTCCATCTCGCAACTGTCATGGGACGCCCGCGCGGAACGCTGAGTCAACCTTTCTACAGGCTGCGAAACAGTTTAGAGCGGTGGATGAAATTAAGATCACAACCTGCATCCTCCCTCGCTTGTCTCAAGGTTTTAAGGGTGGTTAACGCCAGACCCCAGGTCCACCTCCCCTGCCAAGGAGTTCTCACACTCCCCGATTCTGGATGGGAATGACACATGTACGCCATTGCGTGATAATCTGGAGTGGTTTATGCTTTCAAACGCATTTTATCTGGCTGTTTCAAAGCTGCCGCTTTCAGTAATTTGTGGACGTGTGACGAGTGAAAGGGTTAAACAATCACCTTAATGTAATCTTGTTTACTGCTCTGCCGCATGAGTAAATTATTTCACACGGGCTCCGGCCCACTCAACATATAAAAGCTGCCTTATCACTGACACGGCCATTTGCGGTGGCTTTACTGTGCAAAAATTATGAGTCATACTTTTACAGGGCTCTCCAGTTTTGACGGCCTTTTTAATCCCTGAACTCTGCTGAACTGTACATTTCCTTAATTGCGGCGCAGCTTGTAACCTCTGTAATTGGCCTCCCTCCTTTACCTCTGCTTTGAGATGTCTAGACAGAAAGGATATAAAAAAAAGTTGAGGTGAAATGCAAGAATAGAGATGGACGGAGCTAGGGAGGAAAAACAGAGAAGGATGGATTAAATTTAGAGAACACTTCTCTTGCCCAAATATAATGAGCTCCTCGTAGGGTAGAGGTATTATTTCAAGGGAAGAATAAAGGGAAAGGCTTAGTGCGATTAGGCTCCTCCTACTTTAATGTGATTTGGTTGTTGACACCTGGATTACTCCTTGATTGATTTATTGACCTGGATAGTGAGGTCCACATATTGAAATCAAATACTGCTGTTCAGTTTGTAGCCCTAAAATTTGGAAAAGTATTATGTATATATGTTCTAATGCATGTTTAGAATAGTGGTTCTCGATTTATGAGTAAAAAAAAAAAAAGTGGTTAATAAATTATTAACAGTATTTTCTCAAATGTGAACAGGGCCGCTGATAAGGGGGGATCAGGGGGGACGGGGGAAAGTTTTGGAATGGTTAGAACGATTCCAGTGGCCATGATCACATAGGGGACCCGATCTGTATTTATTCTCATGTAACAACTTATGTTTTCAGAGCACAAAACATAAACAAAATAGGAAAATCTGTTATATAATATTCACCATAGACCTTATTTTACTCACATTCTGAAAATTTCAATTCTAAAATCCCATTACAAAATCCAGAGGGAACCAGTGGTGGATTAGCCCTCCAAGTTGGTCTACAAATTGACGTCATGACTGAACAGCTTTAAAAGCTTAAATATTCATATACAATGCTTTTAGAATGGAAAATTTTACTTTTAACAGCTAAGTCAGCCTTAATGTAAGGCCCGATTAGGCTGTACTATATAAAAAAAAAAGAAAAAAAAGACCAAAATCATATGCTCTCCTCTCAATCAAATCCATTAGGTAAGTACGCACATACAAAATCAAATATCCTCAGTTTCTTTAAATGAAATAATGCTACATGTAGTCTCCTGATGTTTTTCTTTCTCTCTGGCAATGGAGTTTCTGCTAAGGGTTAGATGTGTATATGATATAAACCAGTGGCTGGGCCTGCTCTCTGACAAGGCCAGCAGTGTGTTTACCTAGTCATATTGAATCCACACACTGGCCAGAGGAGGGTCAGCAGGAGGCCAGCACATCCCACTCCACAGTCCTGCTATTCATCCCTGTCACTTACGGATAGGCCACACCCCTCACTCGGTCCTTCCTCTCTCTTTCCCAACTCTTTTATATGGAGATGGTAAGTAGAGGTCTATCTATCTATCTATATCTATCTATCTATCTATCTATCTATCTATCTATCTATCTATCTATCTATCTATCTATCTATCTATCTATCTATCTATCTATCTATCTATCTATCTATCTATCTATCGATCTGTCTGTCTGTCGACCTATATGTCTGTCTAATCTAGTGTTAACATGTTGAGTGTTTAGAGGTAGAACTAGTCTCTAGAGACTACTGGACTGGAGATAATTCTCAAATTCTCAAATTCTCAATATGTAAGAATTTTGTAATAAAATATCCAAAAATCACTTGCACAGTGTGATATATTTCCTGCAGTTGTGTACTTACAATATCCCAAAACTCTCCAAAGATTTTTTATTTCAGAGAAATTCCAATTTTAAATAAGTGGCCGTCCCGGAAAAAAATGTCGCCTGTCAATGACGCAATATCCGCGCTATCCTCGGTTTCCGTTCATACTGCCATAGCCATGACGTAACCATGGCGACAGACGTGGACAACTGCGTATGGCGTAACGTTTAGCGGCACGCGGTTCTTGTTTCTTTCAAACATAGACCATGGCAAGCAGACTTTGGGACAAACAAGGAGAACTAAATTGAGGATCAATATCAGCGTGGCGTTTTTGAGACGCCGAGAGCTCCACGTCCGCGACTAACTTGGACTTGACAGAGCTTCACGAGTCAGCTTTATTAGACAGGTGAGCAAATGTACATACAACAAATCAATGTTATATAACGTTAGCTCAACATGATGAAATGTTAGAATATGGTCAGTATGTTTTTCTAATGTTGATCTAGCTCACTGCTAGTATATAGCAAACAAACTAACACGTAGTATAACATTATAACTTTCAACACACATTTAACCCTCTGGGGACCAAGGGTTTTTTGAGGCCCTTGGGATGTTTTGACATGCACTGACATTTGTGCTTTTTTCAGTTATTTATAAACATGTTAATGGCAACGGTGTAAATTCACTCTATATAGCACAAACGGGGCTACCATAATATTTGAGCAACATGTATGTACATGTTTGTATTTTTGAGAGAATATTATTTATGCATGGTTATTTAAAAACTTAAAAATAAAAGTTTCTGAAATAAGGCCACAAAACACATATTGATTATTTATTCACAAGACTTTTGAAAATTGTATCACATAGCCTAGAATATTTGCTCCAAAACTATGTGAGAATCATCCTGACTACTCATTCAGATAAGTCAATAAAGTCTTTTATAATGTGTATGACGTGTTTAGTGTGAGAAAGCTTTATGCGAGGAGGCGTGATCTCTCATTAATATGTATGGCATTTCACACCTGAGAAAGACAAAGACCCTCCCATAATGGCCCTATTAGGTGCTATCAGGCCCTTATGAGGAGCCTTGCACAAAGAATGAGGAGATTTAAAAAAGAATGGCTTTTAGATTGTTTGGATTTATTTACAACACAACATAATCCAAAGATACACAACAAAGGACTGGTTTCTGGTTAAAATTGCTTTTTAATTATATATACACTACCGTTCAAAAGTTTGGGGTCGGTACGATTTTAAATACTTTTAAAAGAATTCTCTTCTGCTAACCATGGCTG